ATTAGGGTCGTTTATTACCTTTATTCATAGCATGATGAAAAAGGCTTCCGCTATTTTTTTGAATAAATCAGATTCATCGATGATTTTAATTGTAGGAATCTCCAGTCGATCAATCAGGCGAGAAATATACAAGGAAATTCAGTTTGGCAGGAAGTTCTGGCTTGGAGGAATTGAATCCGGAGCCGGACGAGGCACCTAGAGAGAAAAAAGTCTGAATTTCATTTTTTTCGTTCATATTTTATCTATTCTTTTTTAATGCAATATTCAGAAATAGAAACTTAATGATTAAATTTATGATCGAGCGTTTTTACGAGCTATCCCATAAATAATTTCAGTCACTGATGTTTGTTTGTATATTTCATATGTCAGAACTTATAGTTTCAAATTTAATTAATATTTAGAGTAATACGATATATGAAACCTCTGAAGAATTGAGAGCGAAACTTGCTAAAGTCAAATCAGTATTCAGTTACGAACTGGCTTTGAGACTCGGTAAAATAAGAGAATGTGCGACAGCAGCGGAAGCAGAACGTATGACAGCAACGGCAGTATCAGAAATGTAAGCTTTTTCTGTATCATTTTCGCCGTTTTTAAAATTTATTTTTTTCAAACATTTTTCAGACGCATTCATGATTTTATTCTATTGTTATTTTAATCTTAGTTTTTCGTGCTTTGTGAGTCGAGAACTGTACAGAAATTATTTTTGCAGGAATAACACTTTCATTATTATAGATGTTCCACGGCAACCCAGGCTGAGAATGGGAAGAGACATATTAAGACACGTAGTACTCAAACGGACGGACCGTCATTTGATAGTGGGATTGGTTATTCATATGTTTATCATCCTTCTTGGAGATATATGGAGAAAGAAATGAACCGACTTGCGCAGTATATGGTACATATGCGCAGGTTCAGATTTTAAAAGCAGTTAAAGGTCACATATTGAGATTTCTGGATTTGTCGTGTTTTCAGTTTTGCTTATTTTTGGAAATTATTGGCAAGTATGGCCAATTTGAAATTAGCGTTTCATAGTATTATGGTACAGATGTTTGGGAGATTATCTATTTGGACTCTTCTGATTTTTAAACTATAATTAGAGGCGGTGAACAGATTTTCAACTTTTTCAAAGTAGGTGCTATCGAATATGAGTTTTTATGTTACAAATCAAACTTAAGCCCTTTATCTCAATAATCAAACTTCAAGGATAAATGTGCCTCAACTTTTATCTCACTTTAAACTCTGAAAGATCTCCTATATTATTTAACTTTAGTACACTGATTTCATTCTTCCGCATTTTTTAATAATTCAATCAAAATCTTATCTAAACCTAACCTCGCGGAGTGAAAAACTAAATCGATTATTCAGATGCATCATTTTTGATTATCATTACCAAAATTGTGTGTAATATTATACTGAGGTAATAAAATTAGCAGGAATTACGAAAATAAGAAAGTACCTAAGTTTAGATGACAAATTAAAGTTAGCATTTGTTATTTTGTGAAAATATTCTTCAATTACCGTTGAAGAATATGCTGTCTTTTGATTTCAAAGGCCGTTGCTCCAAATTTTTAGAATAAAATCCTGAATTATTGATAAATGTTTTGTAAGATGGGTTGTGCAAATATCGTTATTGGTAATCGGGTTTTATAGATGTTATCGTTTTTGATCTGCCTGATCAAATGCTTTATAATGTGATTTCAGGAATATTATTACATTTCAGTTCATCTTTTCGTTTTTTAAGAATGTAAGCTGTAAGAATATAAGAATATTCATTACTTGTGCAAATATCCGTATTGTTTGAGACAGAATTCCCTTTTATTACATCTTGTGAATTAATATTTATTGACTTGTGTTTTTTTTTTGGTTATTTCGCGTTACGTTTGTTTTTTCTTTAATTATTGGTTACTGAATCTTTTTAATAGACTTTTCTCAATGGTTTTTTTTTGTTATGAAAACTCTATCTTCACTTTGTTTTTCTCTTAACGTTTCTGCAATTATCAGAGTTTAATTTTGCGGTGTTATTCATTTTAGGAAGTCCGGTTTTTTATGTTATTACGAGTATCATAATTTTATGCTGCTGTTTGTTGGTCACCCTTTGTTAAAATAAAGTTATTTTGTTCACATATTTACAGAACATTAGTATCCTCGGAATTTCAAATTTACACATGAAATGTTAAGTGAGGAGTTTGTATATGACTAATTTCTAGTAGTTGCTAAAAAAGTTTTCGAAGCATACAATTCCAGATTCGGGGTGTGACCGTGATTTCACCAATCAGTAAAGAGAGCGGGAGTGGAATTCTGCTTTTAAGAGTTCCGAAGTACATGATGTCTCTTAAGTGCCATGGGTGGCTGTGTTCTGCAGTACCAAATATATTACATTAATTAGAAATATAAAGGGTAAGCAGGAATTTAAATGGATCAAAGAATTGGTAGGTGCAAATTCAATTTTAATGATTCTTTCGATATTTGCATTTTTTTCAATTTTATATTGGATAAGTAAATTAGAAATAGTAAGTCATTCGGATTATTATAAGTTCACACTGGTTTGTTTGAAATTTCACGTTCATTTCATGCCAGAATAAGTGTTTTCTATAAAATAATTTCAGTTTAACAGAAACTGGCATTATCTTGTTTGAAATTTACATGTTTTAATTTTTGACTAATTTTCGTCCTTCACTTCCTTCAAAATAGCGATAAATGATTTGAAATAAACGTCATTCCATTGTGATTTATGGTAACAGAATTCAATGAAATACTTCTGCTATAGTAGTTACTCTTTGTATCACATTATTTGGAAATAAATTAGATCAATCAAGAGGCTGATAAAAATGGTACATAAAAATATAAAAATATAAAATAATTCGATGATTTCAGCAAGTCAACTAGAAATCTGATATAGGATTGGAGAGTTCGATCCAAACGATTCAACACTTCGATTCAACACTAACTCATATATTTAGTTCAATATTTTGAACAAAAATGATAATGCATTATCAAAAAAAAAGGATCCTTGATCAAAATCTACAAGTTTCTCGAGTACAAACAGAACGAAGTTATCGATAACTATTTCTCAATGGATTACTTAGAAATTATTATAAATTTATTTTACAAGTCAATTGATACACAACACTATGGTATATATTAATAAATTATTACTCGCATAGTGTTGTGTATGAATTTTACGAATTAATAATTCAAAAAGAGGTTATTATCCCTTGATTAATTTTGACTGGAAAATGCAACCATGCATGCAATCAAAGTGTACTATGCTGCAATGCACTTGAATACGTAACTATTTAGAAAAAAACATTGCGGTAGTATGTGCATTGCAAATAATTAGTCAGAATGAGTGCAGTGCAAAAGAATAAGTAATTTAAGTAATGTGTAATGTGCTTACACTTTCCGACTATGCACATCAAATTACTTACTCTTTGCATTAAAAAAAAAATTTTTGCAGTCTGTTTGCATTTCATCAACATTTAAAAAGTGTTTCCTTACAACTACAACTCCTCTTTTGTCAAATTTTGAACAGTGCAGACAGATTGCAAAATTCTTTTAGTGGCGATGCACTTCGCATGTAGTCTTTTGGTTGAAAAATGGGAATAAAATAAATTGTCTGCAAGAAAATTATTATGCAACAGGTATCAATTTTAAAAAAATTTTTTTGAAAACATGTTCATTAATTACCATCAAAAAATTTATCAGTAATCTCGAATAACGTTTGTTTACTTTTTTGATGACTTTGGTGAATCACTCACTTTCAGGGGAATGACTATACTACTTTTACTACTTTATGTTGAATTGGAGAATCAATCTTCTGAACTATGGATTGGAAACATTACTTCTATCGAGCGAACATTGATCAAACTGCCAAACACTTGACAGAACAAATTGTTTAACAAAACAAGACAGTGGCCGTAGCATAATACTGTTTACTCTTTAAAAGGGTATCAAAATGATGCTATAAAAAGACCCCAATAGGAATTTCTTTCCTCCTCCTAAATCATTCATATCGTATGCTTCATTAAGTTTATTCATTGAATTCCCAATATTAAATATATAAAAACACAGATCTAATCTGTTTAGGAAGGTATATCACATTTTTCTTCTAAAGTAAAGTTATTTCAAAATTTGCTTGTAGCAAATTTAGTGATTATAAGCTGAATTAGTTTTAAAACACAACGGAAAATCGCGATGTTGAATAAAAATCTAAACTTAAACAAGAATTATGTATGAACAGTGTCGTGTATTGCTGGGTCTCCTTTTAAATTTGTTAATGCTTTTTTTTTCAATGCCACTTCGTTTTTTTTACTTCGTCCCCCCATTACTCCATGGATTTCAACGCTCCTTTGTAAAGCATCGATTATCATTGTCACTCCTCTTTATAAACAATTGCTTTTTTCGTCTTCGTCACAACTTTTCTTTCTAATTTTCTAGTAACACCCATAAAATTAAGCAGGAGTTACTTGTTTTATGTACAATTTTGAAATTTCGTTAGAATTGATTTTTACAACGATGTTCACTATTATTCATACGTTACTCAGGTTAATTTAGCCGTTTATAAAATTTAATCCCAACATTTTTAATTATTCGATTCTGATACTCATAAATTTGTTTTGTTACCAATCTGTGTATTTTTTACTTTATGCTTGGCTACCTTTGTTATTCCACTTTGTTTTCACTATACTATGGGAACACTATACAAGCTGTTTCTTTTAAGAAAATCTGGTTTTCTGAATTAAAATCCAACTTTGTTTTTACTGGTATTGGATATTCTTTGATCATTGGGACGAATCATACGTTGCTTTTGTTATTAGCTTCTGTTATTGACTTCACCTGCACAGTAATGTAAATAATCGACTGTTAGTTAATAATTAGCTCTTCTATTTGATAATCATTATTTATACAACTTTTTGGTTTTCTTCGATGCATTCTCTATAAGTTTCTAAAATTTATTACTATAAAAGTGTGAGATGAATGAAGTAAATCATATATACCGGTTGATAATGATTACGATTAATGCTGAAATACTTGATAATGGTTACGATTAATGCTGAAATACTTTGACAATGAACAATGACGAACTACAAAATTTGACTGACTCAATTCTATAAAATGTGAAATAGTTTCTCTGTATTGACTTTTGAATTAAAAAGAAAGTTAGAGGAGAAATACATTGGTAAATTAACCAGACTCATATGTATGCTTTTGTATTGCAATGTTTGAATTTCCCTAAGTATTTCATAATTTTCGTTGAGTTTACATTTTGATACTCAACAAAATAATGATATATAAAAAAAACTGAAAATACGGAATTTAAATGATCTTGTAAGGTAAATTATTCAAGTTCTGTCTGTAATAGAGTTACCTCATGATGAAATTAAGGGAATAGTCCGATAGTGACTAATTCAAACTTATGTTTGTTTCGCAAAACCGCAATCATTCATAACAACACTTAAATTGAGAAAAAGTAGCATTTCACAAATTTTTCTACATAGTAAAATCAATCTTGAATTCAAATCTATGTTTGTTTAGCAAAACCGTAATCAATATAATTTGTACGACTAAGATTGAGCAGGATCCGATAATGTTCCCAATGCTATTTTATTGGGCGCGCTATGAGCTCAACATTATCAGAGCAAAAAGAATGATCTCTTCGGATGAAAGAATTTTGACATTTTAACATCTTTGTATTGTAGAATGAAGCAAATAGTTTCCAATTTATTCAAAAATTACTATTAGCTTGAGCTCTGTTGCTTATAACAATGAATTCTTTTAAAATGGTAATTAAAAAATTCGAAAATTTTTTAAGGAAAACGATTGTTTCTTGAACATCAGAGTTAGCGTTATCTCTTACTAAGTAATATATTCTTTTTTTTATTTTCAAACTTGTGTTTTATTATTTTTGGACCATAGCATCATTTAGTTTTACTGCCAACTTTTGTGTTTTGAAACAATGAATGTCAACAATTTTAAGGGTTAAATAAATTACTAAAGCTATCTCTCCAATTCTTCGCCCTTTATTTCGCTTTTTCATACTGAACTGATCTCGTCGGATATACTAAATGACTTAAATAGATTTCATACTCGTCTTCTTGTATTTGGAATAATTTCTGAGGTGAATTAATGTGGAAATTTTCAGAAATTTTTGTATTGACTAAAACTATGAATTATTTGGCTGAACTGATCTCGTCGAATATACTAAATGGATTAATTCGACATGGCAGACCGTTGTTACTACCGTCAAAGCTAGCCGGATGCTGTTTCCATGGAATTACTACTGCACCTGTAACGTCTTTTATGGTATGCTTCATTTCATTTATAAAAAGAAATTTTAACAGCTTAAATATATGGATAGGGAATATTTCTTATCGGTGAATACAACCAACTGAAATGATTTTAGCACCGTGATTTGGAAATTATCAAAGCAAAACGGGAGCAAATGCAGCGAAAGCCAGAATCAGGAACTAAACTGTTGTTTGGTCATCAATTTTCAGACCACATGCTTGAGATTAGTTTTCGTTGCTGATTTATTAAGAAAATTTTCAAATCTTATATATATCAGTTTGATAGTTTGAGGTAAATTAAATCATTGTGAATGCTACTAAAAAATGATTATAGATAGAATGGACAGAAAAGAAAGGTTGGTCTCGACCCTTAATATGTCCACTTCATGACCTAGTGGTGCATCCTGCTGCAAAGGTTGGCATTTTTTGTGTAAAATTCATGATAAATATTACGAATTCTGTAATCTGAAATTCCTGTAACAAGTGTTTTTTTTTTCTGAACAAGTGTTTTTCACTGAGAGAGCACTATCTGAAAAACAGACAAATGAAGGAATAATGAATAATAGTGAAGACGAAGAAGATATAATTTTATATGTTTTGTTCTAGGTTCTCCATTATGCGGTTGAACTGTTCGAAGGTATGAAAGCATACAGATGTGATGATAATAAAATTATTCTATTTCGTCCGGAAAAAAACATGGAGCGCATGTATCGTAGTGCAGCTCGAGCTGCTCTACCGGTTTCTTATATTTTTCCTGATCTCTACAGTTTATTAAATTTAGCAAAAGTTTTTTTATAGCTAAGTTTAAAAGCATAATTGAATATTAATTTTTGTTAAAATTGCAGGTTTTTGAGATAAAAATCATGTATAGTGTCTTTCTGAAAATTATCAATATTGCTAGGGAAATTTAATTAAGAAAATTTGTGTATAAAAATGACGCGCTTGAAAGCGTCCTCGCAAATAGTTTAGCTTTGAACAATTAATTTACGACAAAACTGCATTATTTCGAATTAAATCAGTGGCGCTGTGCAAGGTGATATCCCAAAGGAAATCATGAAATTGCAATCCACTGAAGTGAAAAACTCAAGCAAATTAAAATATAAAATTGCTTTTCATAGAAGAAAAGGGGAAGGTTTTTAAATCCAGTTTAATTTGCAATTACATAATCGACTGAAAGGAAAATCTAGAACTTTTATTTTTTAAACTTTTTTCTCCGAGATATAGAAACGGACTGAAGATATTTTCAGACATTCGATAAAAATGAATTGAAAAAACTTATTTGTGAATTGGTAAATATTGATGCAGACTGGGTACCTACATCACCTGGCTCACTCTACATTCGTCCTACGATTATCGCTACGGAGGTCTTAATTCCTGTTGTTCCATTATTAATAATAACAAATGAAACATTAATCAAGAAGAATAATAACTACTAATTTAACGTGTAATAAGGAACAGATTAGTTTATTTCAAAAATGTTTTTAAGCCAACTCTTGGAGTATCATATTCACAGCAAGCTTTACTTTTCGTATTAACTGGCCCAGTTGGACAATACTTCCCGACAGGATTCAAACCTATTTCATTGTATGCTGATCCGACTTATTGTCGATCATTTCCTGGTGGTGTTGGACAGTACAAAATGGGCTGGTAAGAGTTTTATTTTAGAATTATAGACGCGATTGTCTAATTGCTATTGTTTATCCTTGCTGGAAATCATTGCAAATGTGCTAAATGATATTTTACTGACAAAAAATTTTGATAGTTTTTGTTTTGAATAAATATTTTCCTTTTTGGTGTTTCAGTAATTATGCGCCAACGATATTAATCAGTAAAATAGCGGCTTCAAAAAACTGCCAACAGGTATTGTGGTTATATGGTGAAGAGGAATGGATTACAGAAATAGGAGCAATGAATATCTTCATGTACTGGAAGAATGAACAAGGAGGTTGTTACGATATTTCTTTTGAATTGATTTAAAAATATATTCTAAATCCATGTGAAATGTTAACATTCTAAGCTTTGTTTTTCTACCTATTCCTTTCCTGCCACTTCAAATCAAAATCTTTTAGATGACGAATTAGTAACAGCACCACTGTGCGATGGAATAATACTACCAGGCGTTACCAGGGATACAATTTTGCATTTGGGAAGGCAGATGAATGATATTAAAGTTACTGAACGTTATGTTCAAGTTGGAGAAATACGACGAGCCATCAAGGAAGGAAGGGTAGACTCAGTTCTTTTACAATAGATTACATTCCTTCAACTAACGAAAAAATTTGTTGGACGGAAGCCAAGAGCTAAATTTCATTAAATATAATTTGGTATTGTCACTCATAGATGCTTCGATTCAAAAATTTTTGCACTTTAGAATTTTTTGACTTCAAAATTTCAAATTCTTGGAGTATGAAAATGAAAAAAGAGAAAATAATATTAAAGATGTATGAAATGTTTGGCACCGGTACAGCATGCGTCGTTTGTCCAGTGGATCGAATTTTATATGAAAATCCGTCTACAGGAAATTGTGAGGAAATGGTAATACCAACGATGACCCACGAGCCCAACCTTATGCAAAAATTTCACCAAACAATAATTGACATACAGGTCATTCATTTATTCATTCGAAAAAAACCGTTGCTTATTTAATTTATCTGCTTCCCAAAAATTTAATAATGAAACTTTGATATCATTTTATTATTCAGTGTTACATATACATCTGACTTGCTGAATGATTATTACAGTACGGGAAGATCAAAATGCCAGAATGGACGATGGAAGTTACCTCATTTTCTCGGTCAACTACATCCACTACTTTTTGAAGATTAATTTAATTTAAAAAGTTGAAGTAAATGTTGAATTTATATAATATTCAATGCATCCAACATGTTTATTATATCTTCTAATCCCAATTGTCTTCATAAGCCTACGTTAACCTGTCTCCAGTATAAACACATGCATTCATAATTCTGCGAATTAATTTTCTTCATTTATTTACACCGCAAACAGTAAGTCGAAAAAAAATCGCAAACTGCAATTTTAAGTTTTCCTGAAATCATTTGGTACGACTTCTGGTTCTCCGTTGGACTTCTTTTCGTTTTTGGCTTTCGAGTGGATCACGCTGTAAGTTTAAATTATACGAAAGTTCGTAGTTTAAAATAAGAAAAGGATAAAGATCGCTGGATTTGGTTTTTGAAACTAAACATGTAACATGATAATAGCGCCTTCTCATATCCATATTTCAATGAACCTCGAATAAATTTATCACCATACCATATTTCCACACTTACATAGATAGCATTAAAGTGCTTGATTCGAACAACGACTGGGCTAAACGCAATAAGTCTTTGATGGTTCTTGAAGCTTAATGTTGCCGGATGTTCGGGAATGCCGTACACTTCGAGAAATTCAGTCTCATTAAAATCGAGAAGCACTTCTGCTGTCAACTAAAATATTCATTTTCTAGCAAATGAATTATTCAATCTATTATATTTCCAAAAAACTACTAAAGAGATAACATTTCTGCTATAATGATGAAACTAACCGTTGGTGTGTAAAGTACAGAAGACAATGTAATACTATCATTGGTCGGGAATTGGAGGAAAAATGCATAAAGTTTGGAATGTACTGTGTGCGGCACCCAAGCCATATCATGTTTCACTTCATATTCGCTTGGTGGACTTACCGTGTACCTTAAATTGGAAATTAGTGGTTGGCTAAAAAACATGAATATAACAATTTCATAGAATTGTAAGGCCTTGAAAACGCTTACCAAATGTAAAGAGAATCATTCTGATACATCCATGGGTAAGTGTCAAAAATGGCTTCTCGATTGCGTTTTATCCACTTGCCAAATTGACGGAGTCGATCCTCAAAAATGGGAGCTATCATCCCTGATTTATCTGGACCAACATTCAGCAGCAAGTTCCCATTGCAAGCAATAGTTCTTACTAGTTGATTAATGAGGTATGACACCGTATTTACGTCTTCACTCTAAATTTTTTAAATTTTGAGAGGTTTTTTCTAGCTTTTTCAGCAGAGCTTCTCCACCGTTATTTCCAAAGCTTGAAGGTACTCTTCTGAAAATTTTTGCTTTTCTTACTTTTCTCATTTTTCTCAATACATCTCTGGTATTCTTACTGTGAGAAATTTCTTTTTGCTAAATGAACTAAATTTCAGTGAAAGTATAGCTTACTCTCATATTGCGGCGATATCCCCATGACTCGTTATCAAGAGTAAGACAATTTTCCCACTTGCGTCTTAATAAATAACCTGCAAAAGCCCATCTTTTCACTGAGTATTTTCTGTTCATAATTAGATTCATGAATACATGTCTTTGAGCATAGCTATACAAACTTCGGTGAAAATTTACTTCGTTACTCTAGAAGCCTTTAAAAATAAGAAACCTGGATCAAAGTGATCTGAATATGTTAAGAAACCTCCATGTTTACCGGAGATACCTTCTCCCCATCGATCATTCACAACTACTGTATTCCTCACAGGGCTGAAATTATGAATACCGTAAACTTCAACTGATAATGGTAGTGGAGAATGAAAGCCTCATTTAGAGACCAGAAATGATTTCGAAATACCATTTTATTTGACTGAACAAAAGAAAAGAACGTACAGTTATTACAACTTTCCAATAAAAACATTTGTATTCAGTTCTAAATCGTTAACCTTGAATTATAAAGCCATGCAATGAATTCTTTTGATTTCCAGTAATTATCACTCATTTCCCAGTCTCCATCACTCCAAATTATTTGAGGTTCGTACTTTCTTACTATTTCCAACATTTGTGGGTACGATACATGCTGTAATTGCATTTTTAATTAAATAATTAAAAAATTTTTACGAACTTCTAACATTATAATAAAAGTGAAATAAAAATCGCTAGCCTTTACATAGTCATCAGTACTGTATTTGCGATCGTTAATATAATAGCGATTAAACCATTCATATTGAGAAAAATAAAGACCGAAATGAACTTTGGATTTCAAAAATGCATCCTTTAATTCACCTGTAATTAAACTTGGAAAGCAAGAAAGACACCGCTATATTTAACTGTTAAAAGTTATCATAACAAAAGAATTGAGAAAGGGGTCAATCAAAAAAAAACGATGATATATTTTTACATGCTTTAGTGAATAAGAAAGATGTACATGAAACATGAACAGTTGTGATTTTCACCAGAAAATGATTAAAATTTAAGTCATTCTCAGAAAACACTTAAAATTTAATAAATAGACATCATACCAACTACATCGCGGTGCGGGCCAATATCAACTGAATTCCAGTTCCAGGAAGTTGCGCTTGGCCACATCGTAAAGCCTTCATGATGTTTGCTTGTGAACACAAAATATCTTCAAACTAACCGTTTCTTCCGTAGAATATAATTTGTAGCTGATAAAACTCATGACTGATAAACTTATGTTAATATAAAGCATAAGAAAACTTACCTTGCTCCAGATGCCTCAACGATATCTCGAAACACGGAAGCATTGAAGTGTTCAGCTGTGAACTGAAATTCTGTGAGTTTTCTGATTACGAAGCTGTGCAATCTTCGGTAAAATTTTTGAATCCACTGACACTTCAGAAAAGTGGAAATAATCAAAAACAGTTCCATAAATTTATACTTCCAAAAGCCTTCAAAATGCTAATTCCAGAGCTGTTCTTCAACATTTTTATCCATTAATGAAGCTTGCTTTAGGATATTAAAATTAGACGCACATCTTGAGCAAAATCGGCATAGGTGATACCCGGTTTGTAATACTTTTTCATAAACTGAATAATATCTGAGTTATTTGATATTTTCCATGCGTACCACATCCATTCCGAACTGAAAAAATCCACCATGTTGTGGACAAACACTGTATTCAACAAAATAGGCAATATAATTTCACAATTTTTTCGAAAGAAAAGTAAGGGAATTTTCATTACTTCTGATAAACTAATTAAAAGATGGCTGTATAACTACTTACTGAATTGCTGGTACTGAATAAACTCCCCAATGACAAAATATACCAAACTTAGCATTTTGATACCACCGCGGTATTGGTCTCGAATCGATTGAGTCCCAAGTTGGCTGGAATGTTTAACCTATTTACTTGTTAAATTATGTGAATTAATGGCTCGAAAACTTGGTTAACTATCAAATATAATGATGCTCATGGAAATCTAAAACTTAAATGTCACCAGTAAGAGAAATAATCATGAGCGAAGAATATTGCCCTATTTCCCACTGCATAATTAAAACATGGAATATATATATATCATCTGATGTGAGCATTATACTTCAATTTTCTTGCTCTCAAGTAAACCCATGTTATTCTATTATCCGAAAGTATATATTGCCTACCAAATAATTTTTTCCTTGTGTCTGTTGTAGAACAGCAATGTTAATTAACAGAACAAAAACTCTGAAGCTAAGGATATTCATCACCATTCCGGGTAATGCAGCATTTCTCTTTCGCTTCTACTGTCGGCAATCGAAGATTCGTGCAGTGGATGATTCACGATAATTTCAATCTCAAACAGCACACATCAGATAATCCGCTTTTCCGATTCTTGTTATTAAATCTATTTGGAACTAATTTTTCACTTTCTACCTCAATTTTCCAAACCCGACATTCATTGGCATAGCTAGGATGTTATGCTTCTTCTGGAATTCATTGGAAACAAAGTCCCCTAGCTATTAATTAGTTCCAAATCAACTTTTGGATGGGAACACTAACGTGCTAAAATAAGAGAATACGAATGGACTTGGGTAATTCCGATTTTATTAAACTACCTTCCTCTTTTCCAGATTTTCTCCCTCTTTCCTCATTACAACACTCCGAATGTTTTCCCTCAAGTATAATTAACCACCTTATCACAAACTCCTTGATATCCACTATCTCTCATATTTTTGTCGTCCAAGAGCTCCATTATGAAAAAGAACATGAAAACTCGACAATTAATCAAGAATGTACGCCTAAACATCCATCACTTTTATTTGACTACTCTGACTAAACATTGTCCATAAAATTGGTCGTCCAATATGTACCATTAATGTAGATTCACCGGTGTTCTAAAGCAACACTTGATACTGTAAAAACCACACTAGGTTCATCTATCCAGTACTAGAAACAACACTCAGTCACTGACTTTGCTGTATGCCCCTAGTAATAAGACAGAGAAAAGTACTAAAATCAAAAAGACAAAAGAGAAAACATTATTTCTAACTGTTTATTTTGCCACAAGAAAAAAAATTAATCTAAACGGCTTATGATCTAAAATTGGCAAACACAAAGTTAAAAAACAGGGAAATAATGAAATGAATCCAAACAAAATTAATTCAAGCATATTGTAGTGAGCGCCAAAAATGATCTAATCAGATAATGTAAGGTAAAGGTAGTACCAAAATGAAGATAAAAAACAGAAAAAAAAGAAAAAGACAGAAAGAAATTCAAGGAAATTAGTTGATTGAAAACAACATTTTGGTTTCATACAACATTTAAAAAGTCAGTATCAATAATCACATGAATTGCACCACAAAACACTAAATTTATAACACAAATTCAGCTATTTCTCTTACACTAAATTATTTTTATCAATGCAGCATCTATTCCACAAAAATTTATATCGCATTTTACAACTGATCGAGGTAGGGCACTTGATAAATATTTCCATAAGAAGCAAGCGTTAGCTTCGATTTCATTTGGTCCGCTGCCTGCAGTTAAGACAGCCATATATAGGTATTTATAAAAAAAAAACCTCTGCTAAAATTTAAAATCATCACAATTAATGTTTATTTAAAATGACTATGAAAACACTTCCTGCAAAAAATGACAAAAAAAATCTCGAAACGTAAAATAAGTTGTCAGCTTTTCGTAGAAATTCTGTGACAAACACTGTATGGTTAAGAACAATACTGTTTATGATTAAGAATTATGTTTTACCTAACCTTTGTAATGTCGGCTATGTTAACGGAAGCTACCTCTTGCAATAAATTAGAAACAGTCTCTGCTTTACCAGTTGCAAGAATCTGCGCAGCACGATCTAGTGCCACATTTTCAGTTGACTCTGCTCGGTTTAGAATGTTCATTGCAGCTATATTCCTGAATCGATAACCATGTACAGGACAAAAAAAAACTATAACGGCAAACTGAGAAGAGACAAACAAAAATGGGGAAAGAAAAGAAAACACATTAACTTTGCTGCTTGGAATGTAGAATCATCGATTGTGAAGGATTTTAAAGCTTTTATTGCCGCATCACAAAGGGGGCCGATGTGATCTGCTTCAGAAATGATATAAATACCAGCAAGTCCTTCATCTGCATATACTTCCGATATAGCAGAAATGCTGAACGGATAACCGCTTGAGGCTTTCTAAAAAATGGATTCAATATCTCTTCAAAACAACACCAACAGTAGTAATACTGGTCACCAAATTCCTAGTATTCCTCACCGCAAATATAAATGGACACATAAAAACAAATTTAGAAAAAAAGCGTGTGTGTAACAACCAACAAAGACTGCTTTTGCTACTACGCCTTGTCCAACACCTGCAGCATACTTTGCCGCAGCGCCCTGACCAATGGCAGCGCTTAGAATTGCTTGTACGGCTAAACTCTGAAATTTGAGATTTGATTCTAGAATTCCTTAGTGAAAATATACATAATAAAAATACAAACAGACACACTGTGCATCTCAATTACGTCTTGTGTATACCTAGTAAAAATAACATCTCTATATCGGGAGGCTGTTATTAGTATTTCACGCTATTTCTTTAATGACAAAAAATGAGACGCTGTCGCAAGTATTTTCTTCCAAATCATTACTTTGAGACTTTTCAAAGAAGCTCCTCTACCAACGATCGCAACGTGAGCTTCTTTCATCAAACGTTTATGACGTTTCTCTCCACCATAATAAGGAGATGGTTTTGGTGAAATTGAATTTCCTTCAGGCAATGTGAATTGACTACTCGCATAGTCTAATATTTGGTCATGCGGGATGTTGACTCCTACAAGAACAGCGTTTCCAGTCACCATTTGCGAAGCCTCAAAAAAGTAACGGAAATAAAATCCCGATGTTGATGAATTTTCGATAAAATACAGAAACTGATCGATTTTACGTAAGAAGGCGATCTATTAAATCACCGAAAACGTACTGCAAATTTCTCCATTTTGTGATGATTGAATTTGCCAATGCTTTCTTCCTTCGCGTATAAATAATTTCCAAGAGAACCATTTCGAAACGCTGCCTAAAGATCCGCAAATATATTTACATTTGGGTCACACAGCATCAAATCTTCCGATCAACATTTTAGTAAAAAACATAATATCAGTGCAATCGATAAAATCAAAATATTACATCATGTAAATCCTCCACAAGTACATCGTACGCTTTAAGATAATTGCGATCGATCCTCAATGTTTCCTTGAAGTCTTCAACATCCCATGGTTTAAATGCTGGTTGAGCCAGTTCTCCTAATAAAGATAATCCTACTGGTGCACGATCTCTAATCACTGACATTTGCACTGCAAGTAAGTCGCGTGTCATCATTCCATTCTGAAATTGTCACGTATTTCTGAAACGACTTTAGATTTTTGGAAATTCTTTGTAAGACCTGACAGCATAAAAATTACTGTATATTTCATTAGAAATAACATTTCTTCACCTAAAGACTGATAGAAATGAGTATAATTGATAAAAATTCTTTTTTTAGTACTTATCAAACTCACCACAGTAGCGCCCGCAGAACCACACTGCCAAAGTAACTGTGCACCATAATATCTTTGAGAATCACCTCCAATGCAATTTCGAATGTGATGGACTAAACCAGCTTCATCAGGCATTTCATACCGAGTTCCTGCTCGATAAGCCACTACCAGCTGGGCGACTGGACCTCCAAGATCCACAGAAGCAACTGTCAATCCGTTTGGCAAGCGCGATATCTTAAACAAGTAAATCAATATCTATTAACTTAGTTATTAAAGTTGCTGCATTGAAAACAAATGTACCTTTTCTTCTGCAACATTTATAGCGTTCCGAACAGGTACGCTAGTAGACGCAAATCGTTTCTGAAATAATATAAAATTGTATCCAAATCTCAAAATGGCTATGAGACTTCCTATCAAAAATAAAGATTGTATTCTCTACGAAAACGATTGATGGACTAAGGAATAATTAGATTTGACTAAAAAACTGACATTAAAATATACGATGCATCTGCTAGATAAAATCAATCCCAACTTCTTTTTCCGATTTTACATTAATTAAACTCTATTATAATGCAAAAGAGCGTGCCACACGAGATTTCCTCTTACTTACACTATGTCTTATAAAAATAAGAAAGAAACTTACAGACACGCTGTACCACTGACGTGAAATCATGACGGTCTTATATGCTCCACCCAAAGTTCGAAGTCACTCAATTCAAGAAATCCGAAAACAAATCAAGAAAAGCTTGAAAAACTTTTAAAAGCACATAGCGGTATTTAATTGTTAAAAGAGCATAAAACCAAAACAACTATTAGAACATACAAATCTGCCTTATGAGTAATATTACCTTAACAGTGATTCGCCGAACACTTAACACCTTCGATCAACTGCCAAACAGCGCTACACTTTTCATGCAACGTGAATGAAACAAGCAGTCAATTGTGAAGATTTCCAATGTGAAGTGATAAGGATTTGACGTAGTGAGATCGGATCTAATTAATTATGGGAGCACTGGGCTTACTATATTTTCAAAGTTTTTGCTTGTGAAACAAAGGGATATTATGGATAATGGTTGAGAATGAAGAGACGGTAGAAATTGGTAAAAATGGGAAAGTTAATCGGATAGCCATAGTTATTAATACAAGTAGAAATGAATGTAAGCAAATATTGCTTACATTTGGAATGCTGATGATAATCTTTCGTGTTGGGTTTAATTCTTTTAGTTCATCCAGTTAGTTCATGATGACATTTTTAAAAGTTTGGAGTAATTTGAAGATATTATCCAGTTTTCCCATTGGTTTATTTGATCCATTTTTGTTTCAGTTGTATTAAATTGAAGTTGTGCACTATAAGTTTCGAAAAGTCATGGCTTTAGTCTTCTGAATTATATCATTTGTATTATAAGCCAGATGTTTTTGTATGTATTGCAGATTTATGAACATGTACTGAAGAAACATCAATTCTCTAACAACAGAAGGTTGATTTTGCAGAGTGCATGGAATAAGTAAATAGAAGGAAAAGCTTTATAATGAGATTCCAGTGGTTTCTATTCCTATTGTTCTGTTTGCTGTGTAATTGGCCGTGTACTAATGGCGATGGTAGTTTAAAAAAAATTAACGGTGAGAAAATTATTCTCCAGTTGAAATTTTGATCTGTATTATGGTTTTTGTATACTTTGATGTCGTTCTTTATGCCACATACATGTATATAGTGGTATTTTTATAGGCACCAAATTGTTTGACCGAATGATCAAAAAGAGTCGAGTGGCGGAAACAGTTGTCACATGGATTGCAGCTGCTTCTAAAAATGTGAATATTATTCTTCACTGACATCCTTTCAGTGAGAAATGATATTAATTTTATTTTTAGCTTAATTAGCAGATTCATTTTTCAATATTGAAGCATTAAAAGCAGGTATGTTTTTACCTAGAATACGAATAATACGGCTGCAGTAACATCACGAGCGCCTGTACGGCATGTCGAATTATCATCACAAGTAGCACGGATAACAGAGATGTTACCTGTACAAACATCAGCACGACAAGTTGGTCTTACTTTAACTGCCCAACAGCAATTGAAACAAGAACATCGTGGCATTCAAATTTCCAATAACTTTACTGCTCATTCATCACCATTCCAGGTTGATGCTTTTATTTTTTAAATTAATGTTTTCATTGTCGTAATTGTTGAGGGATAAGGAATGAGGATAAAAAAAAGTGAAAAACAGTTATAATATCCGGAAAGATATGGAGGAATAATAACCGAGACGAAGATGACTTCAACAAAAAAGGAAATTTCAGTGTCACTGCTGGAAGCATCATAATCAAGTTGGGAATAAAAACGGCAGTTTGAATTATCTCAAACTTCTACATTAATGAGTATTCAAATTAAGTTAAATATTGCTTAGTAGTGTTTTATATTGCAAGATACTATTTTTTGTACATCCCTTTCGTTGCTTTTACTAGTAATATACAATTTAGGCATTCACCAGAGTCCATGAGTTTGATGAAACTGAAGACACTCATTTCCTTTACTACATTGTTATATTTGGTGCCATTATTGTTTGCATATACGTTGCTTCACACAATAAGAAGAAGATTCTTGGTAAGCTCCTGGTTTATTAGAAAAGTTTACATTTTCTTTCAGATCAGCTTACAAAGCATTAGTGACTACAAGATATTTCGATTGGCGCTTGCTTTATTTATAGCTTTTTTGACACTGTGGGCGCTATATTTTCAGGCTTTATTATTGAAGGGCGTAAACCTTCAAACAATATACGACGAGCAGCTTTTCGTTATAGGCGTTTGAGTCAGCATGACGATAGTGGATCCGGTCTTACAAATGTGATTTACTAGTATTATGCAGGTTTGTTTAAAAACATCCCTATGCAGTTTGAAACAAATCATGCTTTCCTTATGCTATCTTGAATTTATTTTACAAGCCATGTGGATTTGTCTTTTATGCTAACATTTCAGATTATTAAGACATGAATTATTGAATCACCAGAAGTGCCTTGTTCATGCCGTTTGGAAGCATTTATTGTACATTAAAGGTTTGATGGTAACAACTTTATCTACGTTATGACTTTTTCAGCCCGGTGCTGTTATATTTTCTTTGTTTATTGATATTTGCTCAAAGCAAACTTTTATTAAACTGTTTTTCATTACTTTGCAGCTTGTATTGTGAGATCTCATTGAATTCATTTTTATCTTTCCGTTATTATTTTAATCAGTTCTATCTTTCACTAATTTTCATTTGCCGTCAAGGTTTCGTTCTCATCAGTGTACGGTTATTTTCAACCTAAGCATGCTTTTCACTTTTGCTGAGAACTGTGACTGTAGTCTTGTATTAAATTTTTTGTGAAAGTTTTTCTCGCGCATACGACAATACTAATTTGCTGATATCATCAGACCTTACTATCCACCGTAGTTAGTTTTAAAAGCAATTTGCAAGTTTAATGGTAAATTGAAAAATATGCATTTTAATGCATTGTTTAGAATGAGCTGTTCTAAGTTGCAGTATTTTTTACATATGTATTATTTTAATAAATACTTTGAAGTAAAATATTATATGCTGAGAACAGTTACTCGATGAATGTCTTTATTCATGAAATACATGTTAAATGATTATTAGAGAATTTTTTTATTAAGTTTCATTTTAATTTCAAAGTTGTCGATTTTGTGGTCGGAAAGTTGGTCAGTGGAAGAAAACGGAGCATTCATTGTTCTTCGGAGCGAGTAACTTAGTTATGAATAAAGATTTCAAAGAGGTCGAAAGGGAAACGAGGCTGTTGCACATTTTGTATATGATCTTAGGGCAGTGACTTTCGAAGTGCAAATCACAGTTCACTTTCTGGGCTTGTATGATTTGTTTTGACAGTCGACTTAATGCGAGCTATTTCCCGGGAGTAGTGTCGGTTTTTCTTGTAAGCGAGGAAAGTGATGCTACGGTTTGCGGTGGAAGGCGGAAACAAAAGAGGGAAAATGAATCAAAGAATGATAAGTCGATGGTTTTGTTCAAGAAGTGTGTCACCAAATACTGTAAGTTTATTTTTCCCACTTTTTCAAAATCTCAAAAATAATATATTACTGCCGGAGGATATGTAGTTGGGAAGGCTAATGCAAACAGTTTGGAAATCATTAACCTCTGAGTATTATTTTATAAGTGCATGATGCAAAAGCAGATTAACATGTGTTTGCTTTGGAATCACAGTTTTTTCCGTTTCCTTTAGCGGTTCCTCTATTATTTACAGCGTTTTGGATTGCCTACTGGTGAAGAAAAGTTGCGGCCGAAGTCAGCAGGATTCACTGGAAATAATGATCTCATATCAGACAATTTACGTTGGGAGCCAAGTTTTTGGTGAGAGGATGTTGTCTTCCTTATTTTTCAAGAATTTCCTCGTAGATTACACTGAAACGATTATTTTAGAAAAGATCTATTTAGTCTATGTTTAAACACCTTTGCAGCGACAAAGGACATGGGGTGAATTTTTATACACATTTTTAAGTGATATGAAAATGAAAAAGGGAGTAATAACAGCGGAAGAAAAAACTTGAACAATATTTGTTGGAAATGCGCCATTGTCAAGCACGAGGAAAGAAATCAAAAAATTATTTTCGCAGTTCGGTGCTGTTGAGAGTGTACGGGTACACTGTTTCACTGCTACCAATGAGAAAATCACGAAGAAGGTTGTATTTGACTTCAGTTTCTCGAACAGAGAAGTGAATTGCTAGTGATCTTGTTTTTACGATTATGTTTATATGCTTCAAGATTTATGTTTAAAGCGCGATATTCCGAGTAGTGTACGGTCGCTAACTTTTTATGTCAAATTTGAAGATGCGAAGTTGATAGAAGCAGTTCTGGCATTGTAAGTGAATTTCATTTTGAATAATCGATAAAAATCATTCATTAGATTGGTCACTTCGTGATATAATCATTAGTGACTGATGGTTATTTTACCAGGAATGGCAAGAAATGTGGTGGGAATTTGTTGTGGTTGTTGTGGAAAAAGAAAGTACAATTGTCGAGCAGCAGTTTTTTTGTCAGTTGAAACGGTTCTTTGTTTTATGATACAAATTTTTCAAAAAAGATTCGTTAGTGGTAGAAGGCTTGATTTTTAGTAGTCGTGTCTCTTGTTTCCATTCAAACTGATTTACATTTTACCGTTTATTTTGAACGAGTTTTTCAGTCTGGAAATGTTTCTTTCGTGAGGATAGTTCGGGATTCGAGGATTGGTGATGGTAAAGGGTTTGCTTTTGTGGCATTCAAGGAGAGTGAAGCCGTACCACTTGTACTACAGCTTGATGGATCCATTTTCAAAAAGCGTTCGTTACGTGTCAAAAGGGTGCAGAAGAAAAACAAGGTAGGTTACAGCGTTATTTTATAAAATTAGAGAGTGTACGATTTCCCCTGTGTACCCATCACCATGCTGGGAATGTACTGATCAGAATTTTAATCTCTATGAATGATTTCTCTAAAATAATAATTACAGATAAGGAGCCAAACTTATCAACATTCACAGAGAATTATTACGAAACAACGCATTCGTCACATGCAGTTTGATAGGAGCGTAAAAAACGTATCAAGTAAGAAAGTTCACAAATGTGATAAAAGGAAAGTTAGGAGCAGGACCTAAATTATGACCTAATTACGTCTTGTGTTGAAGGCTATAAATATGTTTCTTCATGCTTGTTAGTCTTGCAATCTTTAGTGTTAGTGTTATATTTGGGACACATTATTTCCTCGAGTGACATTCCCTTCTCTGAATACAAATACGAAGTTAGCATAGTCGACAAATGAATACCAATAGTAAATGATAATACTGTCAGTACTAACCAACCCAGAAATTCGCTGAAATTAAACTTTGGATAAATAGCTGTATATTTTCTATATGATATAATCCGATCAATTATTGTAGTGTACTTATCAGCAGGGTTCAGTTCTGTGTCACTTTCGCAGTGGCCTTTTTGAAAAACGAAAAAAATGAGGAAAGTTCTGAATCGAATTTATTGAATTCAGGATAAGCAGGGAAGTGAATAGAAATTTGAGGAGTATTTTGCATGACATGAAGGTTTTACAACAGCAAAGAATAATCATTATTAAAAAAATAACCCGTTGAAATAAAAAGCCAATCTTTTCACATCACAAATTAAAAATTGGTAAATGGAAAATCACATTGTGATATTTTCGACCTTGCGGAAGTTACCGAAATGCGAAGGTAGCTCAAATCCGAAAAATAATTTCCCATAACACCGGATATTGGTTATATGAAGCATGAATCCCAAAAGTTGAGAGATAGAGCATTGAATTCCTTTCTTATATTTAGGAGTATTTCTAGGTATTAATCTTTTACTTTGGCCTACTGTCATAACAGTATCCCTTGCTCCCTTTCGATGGCTTTTTTTTTTGTGATCACAAATTTGGTTTCAGCCATTGCCTGCTTATTTTCTGTTGACTATTCCTGTAGAGATTTGTGCAATTTTTGTGATATATTTGTTAATATTGAATTAATCGGTAATTGCATGAATATTATAAATAATGTAACAAAAAGGCGGTGTACTGATGTATACCACACATCCAACTTGGTGGAATTGAAAACTTTAGATTATCACTAAGGTAAATGCATGTGTACACATAGTGTGCGCACACCAATCTTACAAAACTGTTAGAAGTAGTTTGTGTCACCTTCTTGAATTCCATAACAACAATAACAATACATTGATAATTATATATTTCGTTTCTAGCTGCCGAAATATAGCGCCTCCACCTAAAAATACGTTATCATAATCTTACGAAAATAATGCAGCACTCCAGTAAATTCTAAGAATTTTGTTGGAAGATTAATAAGTCCTAGTGGTCTGGTATGCATAGCGTTTGCAGCAATACTAAAATTTTTTTCACTCCAGAAATTTTCTAGCATTAAATATCGGATTGCTGACTTACCGGATATGTCATCTACGATATAATCCTTCGCAGATTCTGTGCCACTTATGTTCTGCTCAAAAAAAACATCCCGTGAAGCACTGAATCTACTTTGTATTTCCTTCGAAATCCATCGCTGTGCTTGCTTACTCGTTGAATGAAACGCTTCACGACCAGAAAGTGTACTTGAAAGTCTTGGCCGCCCCGGACCACTAGCAAAGGTCATCTCTGATGAGTCCATCAAAGCCTTCTGCAAAATTTGAATTTCATTATTTTACGAAAATATTAAGACAGTTATAACTCTTCTAAAATTTAATCATTCAAACAGCTAACCACAGAGTCATTTTCAAGTTCCCGAAACGAAAAATCGCCCTCAACACCATCTATTGCTAACTGCCTGACGTATTCTAGTCGTATTAAATCAAAACCGTGTTTTTCAGCGAACTTCTGTGATTCATTATTTAGACTGTCAATATCCTAAAAACATACTTTAATCACATCAATTAAATTAAAACTCGAAAAAACAAAAACTTTTACTGATCATATCATTCTCAACATATTATTTTACTAATAACATTTATTCAGATTGTAATTCATGCAATGACAATTATTGCTTACAGATATAGCGATTGAAGTGTTCAGATGACTGATATACTAACTTGCTCTGTTTTTACTTTGTCATCTGTAGATGGTTTTACGCGACGATTTCGAGACCAGTCTTCTTTTTCAGTTCTTTCTGCTTCCGATGGCTCCAATGCAGACTTCGGATTCATTCCTAACATACTACTTTAAACTTCGATTTATAACATTCGCTGACATATAAAAAAATTATACATATATATCAATCAGTTCGGAACTTTTTGAATGATAGACATCGCCCTTTTTAACATCTTGGAAAACAGTTTACACCAGAAACTGTTTTTTTAAACATTCTATTCCTTGTTGTTGGACATTATTGTTGTAATGTCTAGCAACAAGGAATAGAATGTTAAATACTGAGCTGTTCGGCGTTCCCTCCGTTAATAATTTATTATTAAAAACGTATTATTGTTCCAGTTCAAGAAATAGAAATTTTGAAGTTGATTTAAATTCAATTTTGATTTATCCGATTTTAGCATCTCAGAAACGAGCAACATATTTAGTCCACTACCTTCTTCAGAACCTGAATAAAAATGGTCACTTAAAGGCCGAACATCGATACGCAACCTCATATTCGCAGTAACACAAAGTCCCAACCGAGTATTGTTCATGCCTTCTTTGGATCCATTTGATGTTGCTAAAATTTTGATTTCCAAAATTAAAAAAAAAGAAAGATGGCGACAATGAAATGCTGTAAAATGTTACAGATAAAAAGTGAAGTTTTTTTTTGCATAATATATTTTTATAAGTTAAAGTTTATAAGTTTTGTGAAACTGTAGAAAAAACTAACTAATCAAATAATATGATCGGCCTGGCTGATACTCAAAGCCATTTGGTAAAGGCGAAAATTGGCGAAATACAATTTTGTGACTGATGGATGTCGTTGCTAGCGGTGAGTCGCAAATGAGAAACGCTTGCGAACGGCTATCCAATTCACAGCTCATAAATGATAAATCAGACACCTGCCAAATAGTGAAATGGTTTTTGAGGACATAAATAATTATTATGGTCATAAAAAAGTTTTTATATAATGAACATTAGTTTGAGATTTCTTTACAAACAACTGGAAGAAATATAAATTTGAATGCGTTACCTGATGAATGATAAGCTGCTCATAATTGTCAGTATTATCATGAATGCTATATGTAGGACAAACTATTTCCATCGAATCCATGGCATCTACTTCAATATAAGCTGCGCCGGCGCCAATTTCCGCATCTTGTGGAAAGAGCAAACGATCAGTAAATCTGCAACAAATTCCTAAATTAAATAATTTTCTTTTTTCAAATCTCTTTTGAAAGCTGTTTTTTCGATAAATAACAAAAATGTAGAATGAAAATGAGATAAGTGTATTTAAAATGTAATAAAATCAAAATTTTTTTATTGATTCAATTCCCAGGAAAACGCAAATTTTCCTTCAGACAGCAATTACTTTAGTTCAAACAAAAAGTAATCCATTTTTTACGCAGTTTTCTTTCAACATACAAAATAGAAGGATGCAAATTCGTGAAAACTTATCTCGTAAAAAATTTATGCTTTTTACCATAATAACTTTTCAGTCAATAATAACCAATTGTTGTTCTTCCTATGAAAGATTTAAAATTTTTTATCTGAGAGTTACTATCGTCAAATTATCAATTATGGCTTAGTAAAAAATAATATAAATTAAAGTGTCGTCAAGCATCAGTTCACATTTCAGTACGCTGCAGGATATCGTCTATAAAACTAATATTTTTTGATGTCACAATTAAAAAGATAGATTTTTTTTAAAAAAAGTGAATAAGTCAGTAGATTTATGTTTGATCTATATCAACTTGCGGAAAAAATCCGACTGGAAGAAAATCAGAATTTAAATCAACTTTTCCACAACACCTATTTTTTGTTCTTTTATTTAAATCAACTAGAAAATAAATTCGATGAAGATTTTCCTAAATATGGGATGAACACTTAGGCCAATACTTAATGAAATAATTTGAAATGTTACAAGAAATTCCAAAAATCATGAACAAGTGGTTTTCCTTACTTACTTGATGCTAACTTTGTGAATGCTCAATTTGTAGCTTAATATTTTTTTTTATTGCTAACACACTTATTCGAGCTGCCTGACATTGCGCACTACTGTGAGGTATTTAAAATTAGTAGTCGAAAACGTTTTGTTCTTTTTAAGAATCCACTAGTGGAAGGATATAAGCATCACATTAAGCATTTGCTAACTTCAACAGTACTGTAATGCGTCACAGCGATTAACAGAATTTAAAGAGAATTTAATTCATGAACTTCTAAAATCAAACTTTTTTAAAAAATGAAATTCGAGTGTGTTAGCTTCTTCGACAAGAGACTGGTTACGGTTTCACAGATTTTATTCGATAAGAATTTGTGATGCCAGTCATCGAACTATCCTACTCAACGTACAGCTAATTAAACTAAACTTTTAGGTTAAACTTAAAAATCCTAAAAGGATGACTATTTCACTCTTCGTTTGATTCCTTACGCTTTTTTATTCAACGAGCTTTTCGTAGGAAAGTCTATCTTTTGGATCATATTCAGATATTCATGCTGAATTTTTTCGTCTCTCTCCTCTCACTAGCGAACAAAAAAAAGCATATTTTAAATAAGAAAAAAAATTTCAACAGCATTATTCTCAAATTTCAAAAACGAGCCCATGATGCACGAATAAAATGACCACTTTGAACAGCAATTGGTCAATTATTGGAGCTTCTAGCAAATGAAAACAGTGAGGAATCGAAAAAATCTAGTTAAGAAAGACCGTAAAATTGATATAAAGAAGAGAAATGAAGCAGCTGCAAGGATGCTATATCCCAATATAATGTTATTTCAGTAAAATGACAAAAGGATGGTGGAGTATAAACATCATCTGTCCTACCTAAAAATAATCTGTCTTCACCCTTTATTCTTCATGATTGGGATACTAATTGTTCACTCCTATTAATCAATCTTTTTAAATACATGAATGAATACAACAGTTCGCAGATGTCGTTTGACCTTATCATGGATTTGTTTACTTTATTAGTCCAATCAATCTTTAAGTATTAGATGTGACTGAGTTCACATGCACTAATAAATGATTATTTTAAATATTCTCAACAATTACAAACTAGAACCGACATTAACTATCTCAGAAGTAAGTCTGTACTTGAACTTGCGCTTCAGTATTACGAAATAGTTATTGTGTAACAACAGATCCCTTATGTGACAGGCACTCAACCAGTCAATCAGGAGCAGCAATATGTCAAGATAACAATGCACGATAATGACATCAGTGCAGCATACAATTTGTTCTAACGTACAAAAATCCATTTTTTTGAGAAAGTTCTCCTTTTGCAACTTCTTGACTTGCCACTACTCATTATTGTCATTTGATAGTAATTACGGACAGTATCAGTAATCAACAATTATCAT